TGCCAAGGATGAAATCGAACTCAAACACATTGCCCACGGCTGTAAGATTGATATTGGTTTCCATCATGAGTTCTCAATTTCTATAAAAGGTCTGATTATACCGGCGTAATTGTTCAGATTGGAAGACATCTCCAGACGCCGAAGATTCAGACTACTATCTCTTCTTTCTCTACTGAGCTCGCTCCTTCCGACATTTCATTTACCCAAACCATTCTTGTACAAGACATCCACAAACTCTCACAATGAAGTTCTCTACCGCTCTCTTCACCATTGCCACTTTGGCCACTTCCGTCTTTTCCACGGCTCTTAGCCCCCCTGACAACTCAGCCATTGGAGCTGTTAATATGGATGTCCGCGAGGTCGCCCCTCTCGACTCATCCCCCCTTGAAGCCCGTCAGGGCTGCTTCACCCACATCCTCCCGGTTCTCAGAATCAACCGAGACAACCGCCGAGATATCCAGGGTGATCTCGACGCCCGCCGCTCTATCGAGTGGAACCCGAACCGTAACGTTCGTGCCATCATCGATTTTTCGTCTACGACCACCCGAAACCGCCAGCTTAGATACCAGATTACCAACCGATCTCAGCTGTTTGGCGCGGCCATCATCTTCAGCAACTACCAGGACACCATCACCGGCACGGTTAGGGAGACCATCAGGGTCCCGATCGGTCGCGCTACCGGAATGAGTCTCAGCCCGACCCCTACGACCGGCGCCGGCTGCATCGTTCTCCCCCGTCTAGATGGTACCTGGTATGCCCAGCTAGAGTAGAGCAATTCCAACGCTGCCATCCAATAAGGGTAGCACAGACAACACACCAACCTGTACTCCAGCTAGTATGTCTTCCAGCCAGTAACGCGAGGAACATGGAGGGGATTCGGTCAATGATGCAAGGACGAAGGGAGTTATAAAATGACTTGGCTTCAACCGTGGGTTTAGCTTCGTTAATCATTCAAAAACAACAGGGCTCTGAGGCTGTGTACTAGTGATGTTGAGAGTTCCCTTAATTCGCGCTGTTTAGTTTAGTATCAGCATAGTACTTTGTATCAAGAACAAATACAGTCACTGTTAGAGATATATACAGCCAAGTATTGCCAACTTGAATCTGCCGATGGTTTCCAAAGAGTACCGTGAGCTGAATATTACGCGAAGTTGACTGTGATGGAAACGCGAGTGAAAGAGCTGGAATAGCTTGGAAGCTCACATCAGTTACACGAGGCAGCGTCGAAGGCATGAAGGGAAATCAATATCTTGTACAGTCACTGTGTGACAGAGCCTTCCTGGTGATTCTCTTCTCACAAAGGCTTTACCTATTTAGAGAAAAGAATTATTGAAAAGTGACGTCGCAACGACGCCCGACAGGCGCAACGACAAAGAAGTTTTCCATCTCCATCATAGAGTCTGTCATGTTGCTAGATAACTTGAGGCCAGGGCACTGTTTGAACAATACAGCAGCCCCCATACGATTTTCCATTCGAGCGAGGTGCTGACCAATACAGACTCGTGCACCGGCACCAAAGGGGCAGAAACTGCTTTTCTGGTGTGGCGTGAGCATCTTGGGGTTCATCCATCGTGACTCGTCAAATCTGAAATAAGATTAGAAGGCTGATATTGCTTCCGAGGACCAACAACTTACTTGAGTGCGTTGGGATAGACATTTTCGTCCCGATGAAGAGTATAAGCCTGAGTCTCAACTTCTAAGCCTCCAGGAATTGTATAGTCTCCGAACTTGGCGCCTTTGGATGGAACAACTCGCGGCAAGTTGGCCGGAATGCTGCCGTAGAGGCGAAGAGTTTCATCGATGACAGAGTTAAGAAGAGGTAGCTTCTCAAGGAAAGCATCGTTGAAAATGTTGATATCGTCAACCGCAGCGACTTCCGCTTCAAGCCGAGCTTGAAGCTCAGGCCTTCTCAAGACAGCCCAAACAAGGTACGTCAGAGTCCCCGCCGTCGTATCTGCGCCGGCAAAGATCAGATTAGACGCCTCGCTTTGGATGTAATCTTCCGTAAGCTCGGCTTTGTCTCCGGCATCGCACTCGGCTAAAGCAGTAGCGAAGAGGTTTGACTTATTGTCGCGATGTCTCTTCAAATTTTCAACAGCTCGACCGCCGTATTCGCGGATCGAGTTTCCTGCGTTGAGCATTCGTCGAAGCGGCTTGAGTGGGATGTAATGAGAGATTGCATAGAGCCACGGAAGCTCGTGCTTCAAATAACTCCCAATCCCGACCAATTGAAATGTGTCGATGTACTCGTTTTTCTGTTTATTCCTGTGGTCAGCTACTAGATTTCAACTGCAGCATGTGACACTCGATGAACAAGCAATGGTACAGCTACACTAACAGTTGACGTACCTTGCCAGATTCTAGTAGCTCGAAGGATTCACCAAAAGCTAGTTGGCCAATCACATCTGAAGTCATGAGCATCGACCAATGGAGTATATCGCAGGATCCGTGGGTAGCCTCGCCCTTGATCCTGTGAATCGCCTTCGCAACCTTCTCCCTCACAACTTCCTCGCAGTTCTGTCGAAGGCTGGTGGTAGAAAAGGCGCGAGAGAAAAGCCTACGCATCACTCCGTGCCTCACTGGGTCTACTGTAGCAAAGACACCAATTCCGATGCCTGTATCTCCAACGAACTCCTCATACCATGGCGATTTTAGGAAGCCAGAACCGATGCGATGGATCGCTACGAAGCCGTCGGGATCTGAAATTGCGACCTGATACGGCGAGATCCGTACAACGGTACCGTACTTTTCATGGAGGGAGTGAACGTAGTACATTCGCCGGCCGATTGTGGTTTGCCATTTGAGTATGTAATGGGTGATGCGTGTGTACCATGGTCCTGGAATATGCTTGAGAGGGTTGCGCAGCCACAAAGAACACAGCTAGATGTTTGTTAGAAGGTTTCACTGATGTTGCACGAGGTAATCCAACTTACCCGCAAGAAACCAAGCAGGCACGTGGTCCCAAGCGCCCAGGACACTACGACTGGATCGGTGAAGAGCATGGTCCAAGAGCTCTGGAGGCGATGGGGTTGCAAATCTGTACCCGGAAATGAAGTGATGAAGAATCTAAGGACTTTCCTTGGAGCTGCGGGTGACCATTTATGTATATGAGGTGGCCAGGCATTCAACGGTGCGGGGAAGAGTTGATGGCTGTAGGCCGATCGCCGAAGGCGATTCAGGGAGCCGGAGATGTGGTTGATGGGTGAACCAACGACCAACAAATTCTGGGCTCGGATAACTTGCCCAACGGGGAAGGTCAGAAGTCTTCTGTACCCATGTTCCTGAATAATGGGACAATGATGAATGGCTGGTAACGTTTTATTGCAACTGCACATGTTGTTTGGCATTGCAGGCCTACTGGTAATGCCAACTGGGGTAGAAAATCGCTTCGCTAAGAAATCATCACGGCCAGCTTTGTTGAAGAAGAATCGGCCTAATAAGGACAATAAGGACATTCTGAAAAGTCCGGTGACAGAAGGGGTATTACATCATTGGGTGACCTGATGTTTGGTGCAGATTAGGGCTGCTGAAATGTTACTCTCTATTTGTCCGTACTTGGGGAAAAGTCTTTACCGCATCAACCAGGCACGAGTACTGAATATCCCACACCGGCCGATATACTCACGATCGGTGGCCGCATCTCGCGACATATTTAGTCATAGCTTCGGACGCGCAAAGAGAATTAGCGCCGAGCCCGAGAAAACCAGGTGCACATATTTCTAACTAGGCAAGTAATATCGTCAAGTGCCTGAGCGACTACATTATCATATTAGTCGTTGATTTCTTGGCCCGCGGCCGCTATCAAACAGAACACAGACGCTTTCGTTTAATGTAACAATTGCAGCTTGGCTGAAGTTCTAAGATGATTCTTTCAGTCAGCTTCATAACACCCAATTGGTCAAATTTGAAAAGCGATAGTTGCGCCCACCGGAAGCTTCACGTAGCTTTAACGCCAGTAATGAACGTTATTTTAATAACCGAAACCATTTGACTGAAGGCTATTCGCCCGAATGATGTCATGTTGGGGTTGTTGTGCCAAGGCCAAATTTCAATTTCATGTCGTATCATTCTATCGGCGGTTTCTAACTAACGTCTGTCTATAATTTCCTATTTACTTTCTTGTCCCTTACGGACTGGTATTTATTTACAAAGTCGTACATAATCGCTATGTGCTTAGCAGAGCATGCTCAAATTGGGTGTTACCAGTGCTTACACGAAAATGAAGGGATGACTGACTGGCAATTCAGTCTTCTTAGGTTGGAAGCAGCATGTCGTTGAAAACTGCTTCAACACAACGGTCGTGCTAAGTGGACCTTGACAACAGTTTCGTCTTGTGAAGTGGGCATCTTACGTTGAAATTGATCCATGCCCTGTTACCAAAGCCCTATCATTAGAGCCAGTCGCAGAAAAAAGGGACCACAGCATGCCACTGTTCTATTGAAGGGCGGATCTGAAGCGATGAAAAGCTCTGCTGCCTGGTGGCTTCGACTCCTGGATCTAGTATGCGATTCCATCATGTGGGTGGAAAGCTCGGACCGTACCGCCTAGGTCAACGGTGACGATAACACCACGATGCCGAACCTTCTGCCCTTCTGCCCATGACCCCTGAACCCATGACTCGGGAGCTTCTGCCAAGAGAAAAACGACTTTCCTTCTGCGCTTCAATACGGAGTGATCCGCCGGGGACTTAGGAACAGTCTTGTGCCCCGTACCAAAGAGCTGGCAACAAGCAAAGTTTAACGGCTGCGGCTCCTGCGAATGCGCAGCATCCTTAACATGATCTTCAAAAGATGCGAATTAAGCTTTCTCCCCTTTATTTACCACAATTAGGTTGAGTATCAGATGAGTGGGGTAAAACCGAGTACTAGTCCGTATAACTTCACATCAAACCACGAAAAAATGATCAAAGTCTCGGTAGAAAAGGTTCTCGCAGGTCCGGTCATCATTCGCTTGTTCTCAATAGAAAATTCAGTCACTCTTTTGTTCTCAAAGCATTCAAAATGATTCTGCCACACGCAGCTGTCCGTTCTCTTCAAGCACTTTCGCTGCATGCGCCCCGCGCATCTCTCGATTCGCCCGTCACGTGCCCAGTTGTCCTGGATGGGCGAATCCCCCAAAATTTCACCTTGCAAGTCTTCGATACCTACGCCAGCCCGTTCAACCCGGGATACACAAAGGGCCCTGCGAAGTGGTCCGAAATTCTCTTGTTTCCCACGGTTCCGACACCCTCGCGATTCGAAGCCTCCAACGCGACTGGGAACTTCAAGCCTCTCGAAGTCACCATCAACGACCAGTCCATCTTCAATCCCAGCGGCAACAGCCCGCAGCTAGGCTTTCGTCGCGCCGGACTGCTGCTTGGCAACGGCTCCGATGCTTCAAATCAAGGGGTCATGACGACACACTGGAGTTCCATGCAGGATTCGACCAGAAAGCTGAACTTGACGCACGAGTATCTGACGTCTTTCCACGAGACGAACGACTCCGGCGGTGCGCAATTTGCCCTGCAGATTGGCACGCCCCTCGGGCAGAACAGTACGGCGGGCAAGCCCTTGTCAACCGACTGGAAGATGCTGGACAGAAATAACAGCGTGATCTTCTCGACGGCACTCAAGTTTGATGTCTGGCAAAACTGGGCCGTCACCCTCGATGTCCCCAAGAAGTAAGTCGTATTCCCATCGCGTCGAAAGGGAGCAGGTGACGGAGGATTCCGGTGTCTAATGATTCATCAGCACGATTCAAGTCTTCTTCTCGGAAGGAAACGATCCACTCAAGTCCGTTACCGAGGTCCTCCCGAACAACAACGTGGGCGGGGGTGCGCTCCAGATCGGCTTGCTCAAGAAGCCCACCGAAACCAGGACGGTTGTGAACGATGGATTCCAGGAAAGCAATCTGAATGAGGGACAGATACTGGGTGGCATCTTTGTCGAGAACAGCGCAAACGGGTGCGTGTCTCTCTGAGCCTACACAAAGGCACAAGTTTCGGTTGCCAAGTCTGCGAAAAGATGGTGGGAGAACATTGGGGGCGGACGCTCTGGGATTGGGCTCGGATAGTGTGGGAATCCAGAACCCGGTCTCGTCCCACAAGATGTCTTGTTGTTGCTTTTTCCAGGTGGTCCAAACGGCTCTGCAGACCAACAACGAACCTCCCTTTCATTCTCTCCGGCTCTCAGCATGTGGGAATCTGACTACGGGGCGTAAAAAAAGCAAAATACTCGTTAAAATGCTGCCCACGCCACGCTTTCATGTAGAGCTTGGCGGTGCTTAGACGAAGAACGACGGGCGACTTGTGTGATTGATGGGAGCATGTGACCAAGACATTGTGCTGCAGCGTGCTCCTTCAAGGACTGCGATGGTATTGGACAGATTCCTGCCCTCTTATCGGGCCCTTTTACAAATTATGAGTGAGTCAGGAACATTGAATTTGGGCCAGTGGGTTGGGCGCACGTCAACATGTTGTGGGTAGCTTGCCAGGCTTCTTCCCTCCATGAAGAATGTCTGGATCGATTTTCTTGACTGTGATGGTCCACGGAAATGCGTATATCTCCTGCGACGAGCCGAGGTAGATGACGGAGTAGACGGCATCCATGGCTTAAATCGATCCAATCGAAGCATGACTTTCTAATGAAAGGGCAGGTCGTATCGATGTTTGACATACTCGGAAGGTTTGCCTTGCTTGGACTGGGTAGGTTGTGAATTAGGGTAAATGATATTATTCTGAGTCAAGCAGGGTGAAAGTCGCTTCTTTTGCTGGTACTAGTAGCTTCCATTCTGCTAGAGATGTTTGAGCCTGCTCTATGCATCGCGAACATGCCTATATGACATGAGGCTGTCGCAGTGTTGGGGAGCCTGAGCAGTTCCTTGAAGCTGCAGGGTCTATGAAGAGAATTGGGCAAGGTTAACTCCCACAAGACTTGGTCCGAAAATACGATGTGAGGGGTTGCAGAGACAGTGGCGAGGACGATCAGGCTACTTCTAGCTGATTGATCCATAACCCGCTCTCATGATCTTTCAATGACTCATCATCATAAAATCAGGCACGGGGATGACGAGAAATAGTTCAAGGCCACCAGCGTGTTTCTTCAGGTGGCCATCGACGGAGATGACCCTGAATAGCTTGTCTTACCCCTGCAATTAAGAGGATCAATAAGTTGCGGTGGGTTGTATGCTTATCTGCCGGGCCTTGGATCGACATCTTCTTTATGCCGACCGATGCCAATATGAAAGTTCTAGTCCATTCGAATATTACATCGCAACGTATATAGTTCGTATCGTTTTAACACTTCAATATGTTGTCATAACTGCCGCTGCATCCACAAACTTGCTCGTGTTTGCACACGAACTCTGCACATCAAATGCACATGATTGAGATATGTAGTATGTAAAGCAAGTTGCGAATTCATCGAGTACATCAAAGATGGATATCCTTGTTTCGGAACTTTCTAAGCCTGATGTAGAGGAGGATGAGATGCGATTGGCGCCCACGCGCCCACTTAATCCGTGATCTTCCTTCAAGGAGGATCATTCCCGGCATCCTCCTTACCGACCGAGCGGCGCACTAAGGCTTCAGAGCCTTGGTCCAGAACAATCCAATTAATTGTTCCCTTTCGACGATCTCCAGTCTTTTGATCAATAGTCGGTTAGTTCGGAGCAACCAACTTGACTGTGGGGTATGATGAAGGGAAACCTCCCTGTTTTGTCTTCATGGCGAAGACAACGGTGTGGCAGTTGTGCCCACATCGCCCGTTTGTGAGCTCATGGGTGCTGGAGAAGAAACGACATGCATAATGAGAAATGGGAAATATCTCCTAAACCCCGTGAAATGGTGCGACTAGGCAGACCAACTAAGAACCAATCAACTGGGTCTGACAGGTGTGATGGCCAAGTCCAAGCGCTCCGAAGCAGGCCAGGCAAGTCAGTATGCCTGCATTCCAACAGGAACAGAACATTATGCACGGTCTTCTGCCCGGTGGTATTGCCGCAGAGAGACCAGTGTCACGCCGCATTGATCCTCGACGGGAGTGCCGTGTCAATCCGCACAGATGCTTCCCGATTTTTTTGATTGCGAACGACAGGTTGAGACATTGGTGTCTACGGACGAAGCCACCAATCAGTATGAAACGGGGGAATCGCAAGAAACATCGTTTTTGGACGAACTAGGCTCCATCGCCTCAAACTTGGGATGACATCGTGGTTCCTTTGAGGCTATCCCTGGTCCTCCTATCGAGTTGTGAAGACTTTGAGCTTCGGGAGTTAGGCTGACAGGCCTCGAGGTATAAGAGCATGAGATATCACTGAGCATAGGATATATGTTGAAGAATCAGTAGGAACATCAAGAATCATCCAGTCCCTTCACGACTTCTCACTTTCGCTTTTTTCCAGTCACACATCTGCCAACCAAGTGCAGCGCACACTCTTTCAACCATCGCCATACCAGACTTCGCTCTTTTGACAAGACATTCCCTTCAAAAACAACCACAAACAACCAAACCAACTCCCTCAAAATGAAGACCGCTACCATCACCACCATCCTCTTCGCCGCCCTCGCGGCCGCTAGCCCCGTTGAGATCCGCCAGACTTCGGGCTGCAAGGCCTTCACCGTTCTCTTCGCCCGCGGCACCACCGAGATGGGCACTCTCGGAACCGTTGTCGGCCCCGGTCTCCAAAAGGCCGTTGCATCCAACGTCCCCGACTCCGTCTTCGAGGGCACAACGTATGCAGCTGACATGGCCGGCATTATGTCCGAGGCAACTGGCTCCGGCCCGGGTAGTGTCGCCATGGCCAACCAGGCCAACTCGTGGCTGAGCAAGTGCCCCCAGACCAAGATCGTCCTCACTGGCTACAGCCAGGGCGGCATGGTCGTCCACAACGCCGCTAAGAAGCTCTCGGGCAAGGCCGTCGCTGCGGCCGTCACCTTCGGTGACCCGTTCAAGGGCCAAGCTGTCACTGGTGTCACTACCGCCAAGTTCAGGAGCTTTTGCGCTGCTGGCGACGGTGTCTGCTCCGCTGGTGGCTGCGCTAGCTCCGGAAGCTGCTCGAGCCAAAGCGCCTCTGGCCACATTGGATATGGCGCCGATGTCAACACCGCAGGCACCTTCCTCAAGGGTGCTCTCGCTTGAGTGCAACACCAGTGAGGCATGTACGTCTTGATAGAAGGAGCATCTACCTGTAGATGCTTGAAGGGAGCCCTGGATTTGTGGCATGGATATACGATTGGATGTCTGGAACTTTCCTTTCTTCACAGTATGGCTTTAACCTTCTTGTATTGAATACACCTACCTAGTCAATGACACTGGTTCTTACTTCAAATTCCCAAATTGATACCCCATGAGATCCACCATCGCGAAATAACGTCGATCTAGTTGTGTCTATCTGTAGACATTCCACCACTCATTACGTTAAGAATACTGACATAATTGATCGCTTCAAAAGACTGAACTGGACTTTGTGTCCTCCGCCCTTTGACTCTACATGTTGATGGGCAATTAAGTCTCATCACTGTCACTTTCGTGAGTACTGAACTTCACACGAGACTCTCTCCATCTCTGAAGTAACGGCAGACCAACACCAGTCCAGACAGTCAACGCCACCACGAATGCAAGCGCGCTCTTCCACCCATGTGTCTTGGCAAATGCAGGGGCCTGTCCGCTCGGCATCTGCAGTTGCTGGAAGGGAATCACAACAGCCTGGCCGACGGAGACCATGAAGCCAAGCACAAAGGCGCGCTTCTGTTGATCGCCGCCGCAGGCCTCATTCGCCCATCCCGCCAGCAAAGGCGTGTAGCAACCATAGCACCCTGCAAGGATGAAGACGGCCATGCGTAGCATATGTGGCACGCTCCATGCCGCGAGGACGGCGTAGACGAACGTCAGAAGACACCCGACCGCGAAACAGACAGGTCCGCGCCGGCCAATTTTGTCAGAGACGTAGCCTGTGGAGACCATGAACACGAAGTTGATGGCACCGACGCAGGTTGGGATGTTGTTGATTTCTGGCACGGTGTACATTTTTGTTGACTTGAGGTACAGAGTGAAGTATTGAATGATGTAGGAGCCGCAGGTCAGAGTCCAGAAGGAGTAGGCTGCTGTGAAGGCGTAGACTTGCCACGAGCCGAAGACGCGGGTTATAACGGACCAGTTCATCTTGCCGACAGGTTTGCGGCCTTCTTCTTCAATCCGCTCGCGAGCACGTTGCTTTTCCCAGTCACTGAGGTAGAAAGCCTTTGTCGTGTGAGGGGTGTCGGGGAAGCAAATCTAACAATAACGTCAGAAAGATGCGATGTTCTATGGAAGTCAATATCGAAGAGAGGTACTTACGACGCCGTAGATCACCACGGGAATGGCAAGAATGAAGTCAAAGACAAAAAGCCATCGCCACGCTGACAGACCACCTTTTCCGCCCATACCCGAATACAAGGCAGACTGAAGATAGCCGGAAAACATCTGCCCCAAGACACCGCTCATGACGAAAAGGCCAGAGCGGCGGGACAATTCGCTTTTGCGATACCATGATCCGAGGACGTACATGACGCCAGGCCATGCGGCAGACTCAAACAAGCCGATGAAAAAACGCAGGACATAGAACTGCGTGGCGGTCTGGCACTTGAACAGGAAAAGCACGAAGAGAGACCAAGTGCAGAGGCACCCGGTCAGCCAGAAGCGCGGTCGGACGACAGTGATGATCAGGTTGGCAAAAGAACCGCCAATGATGGTTCCAATGTTGAAGTACGTGTTCATCCAGGACAGTTCGTTGCCGGGACCGAAGTTGAGCTCTTCCGACATGCCGGATACGTAGGCATTGGAGATGTTGTTTTGGTCAAGCTAAAGAAGAGCACTGGAGTCAGCATACCGGCTGAACGCGATGCTTGGGGGCAGGTGCATTCACCTGTTTGATGAAGAACATGAGACACGAGAATGAAAGTAGAAACCAATCCAACTTGAAAATCAACTTCTTCTCCTCCGGCGATGTGCCGGGCTCGTGCCAGTGGAACCATCCCGCGACTTCAGGTTGCTGTGGGGGCTCCGGCTTGGTATCGGTCTCGGCCGCGACGGACGTGGTCGAAATGCCGTCCTTATCTTGGCTCCGGTTGGTTGGGTCGACTGCCTTAATGGCATTGGCCGCGTTGGTATCGAGATGCGGCGCCATCCTGGTTCGAGCTGCAGCTATCACTAAATCTGATCTCGTCGCACGATCACAAGAAAACTCCAAACGTGCCCACGGTCGGTGATCTAGGCCAAGCAGATGGAGCGTCTCTGGCAAAAGTGAAGATTGAACCTGGGCAGGAGATTCTTTATCATAGCATATCCCTCCCTCGATACACTAGAGAAGCGGTCGATGGTCCGAAAAAAGAGACTTGATAACGATTTTTACTGGGTCGAGCACGACATCGGCAGTCGTTTCTTCAAGCTGACTTGACCGAGACTGTCCTGTCACCGACTCACCATTGGCGGCGAACAAAGCGCCATCGAGAACAAAATCTTTTTCCCTTCCGATGTGGTATCGGGGAGGGGCCTTGTGTCCTTACCCCTTTTGGAAGTTTCTGTCGGGCTAGTTCCGGTGCTTAGTGACTCCTTACTCGCACGCCAAGCAAAGGCCGCTCTCGCTTCGGCTTGCTGGATCTCTCCCCGCTTCTTCGGCTTCTTATGCAATACGCCCTTTGGATAACGGAACGGCGCCTTACCAGAAGTCCTCAACGCTGGGTTGATCTAACGTGATAGTAGCTATCAAACACATACTAGTTAAAGTTCATGTTGCTACCTTGTCCGTGAACTTTGAGGATCTCTGATGACTCCTTAAATTATCAGCTCTGACTTGAAACTACTGACTTGGTGCCTAAGACAAGATGGTTGACTTTGTGAACATCAATGGCGCCCGCCTGGCATACCGACTAGCTGGGCCTGAAGATGCACCGCTCATGATCACGCTGCATGGCGGTCGCGGAATGGGTACGCTGATTGAAAGTCCAGCGTGACAAGACGAGCTTCCTGATCAAGGGTTGACATTATCTAGGTGATCATAAATCCGACTTCAAAGTCTACGGCCAGTTAAGCGATAAGATTCGAGTTATATCCTTCGATTACCGTGGCCATGGCCAAAGTTCTTTGACTAAGCCTTACACCTTTGAGCAAATTGTCGATGACATCGAAGCGGTGAGACAACATTTCATCGGAGATGATCAGGTCATCATCTGCGGCGGTAGTTTCGGCGGTTTCCTTGCACAACACTATGCCATCAAGTACGCCCCGAAAGTATCGCATCTGATTCTCAGAGGGACTGCACCATCTCATCACCGTGAGTTGTGTAACCTGCACTGGCTTTAGGAGGGCTGAGCGTTGATAACATCACCACCAGACGAGGCCGGCGCCATCAAAACTCTGGAGGCGAGGATACACAAAGTTCCTAGCTTCTCTGTCGACATGTTGAAGAACAAAGTCTTTGGTGCATATGAGAGCGACCGCGAGTTTCAGTTGGTTTACTTCGCCATGATGCCGCTGTACAGGGAAACTTTCGACCCCGATGCAGCGTTGAAGAGCAACCTCGATGGTGTATACGTCGCCGAGTCTCATAGTAAGTAAACTTCAACCGAGTCAATTTGTGAAATGTCTAGACTAATTGACAATCAACTCAGATGATCTCTACTCTGAGAAAGAGAAATACTTTGATTACACTGAACAACTCTCTAAAATTACAGCGAAGACTCTGGTAGTCGTGGGCGGCAAGGATTGGATATGTCCTCCTGGTAGGAACTTTACCAAAATTGTAGAGTAACTTGGTCCACGCTAATCATGAAACGTTGCAGAAAACTCGAAGTTGATTGCTGAAAGAATCCCCGGAGCTAGACTTTTGTTGGTTGAGGGCGCTAATCATGGTGTTCATGCCGAAAAGCCAGAAGTGGTCCTGGGAGAGATTCGCAAGCACTTGGACATCTAGTCTCAACATTCTTGTCAAGCTGCTTTGACTGCCTATCGGCATGGCGCTTCGGTTCTCCGATGAGTTTCATACTTACGAATACCATTGGCAATGAAAGCACGTCTTATGACTTGGCGGACCATGATGCACTTCATTGGGAACATCCTCCATCTTACAAGGTAAATGGGTTAACGTTACTTGGGTACATGCGACTCATTCTCTATAGACGCTAGTGTTATTCATGAATCTTACGTCAAATTTTCGCCGGCCTAGTTTTGTTCTCTTCAGTAACGCTATGCCGTACTTCTCTCGTAACCTTGATGATTCGCCGTGTGCTCTCCGCGTCATCGTCATGGTTGCTGTTGTTGCTGTCATTATCCCCCGCTCCCCCAATCACCGTCACTCCTAGGTCCGTTTCGTATATCGGACCCTGTCGTCCCTTTCCCTGTCCAAAGGTCACGAGGTTTGTGTCGCCCGAACGGTTGTAGGGTTCCTGCGTGCTGGTATCCTTGGCCAATCGTTTAAAGAAAGCTCGTAGCATTGGTAGCGAGCCAGCAATGATGCCTAGGCCACATTCGACGATTGTCCAGAGAACTATGTTACCTGCATGGTCTACACAATTGCAGGAATGTCAGTGTGCTGCTTTGTACGGATTGTAGCGAAACAATCGGGATGCGTGGGTCTTCTTACACAGAACGTCGCTCGCTTTCATGTACGCATTCGTGAAGGGTACTCGGATAATACTCGCAATGCCAGCTCTACCAACAAAAGTAGTTAGTCAAAGCCTCATGTACACAATCCCCTACGTTTAGCAGAGATCTTAGAATATCACTTACAAGAGACCCAGTCCCAGAATGAGCCGCACGTAGAACTTAAGTCGGGATCGCATTTGCACATGCCGAAGCAGAAAGAACGGAATTGCCGCAACGCTAAAGTCGGTGATGACATTGGCAACGGATGCCCCGTACGAAAGCGCGGTGGCCACGATTGGTGGCCAGCAAGTTCCCGGTATACTCTTATCCCAGTACCTATCGAGGGGGTGGCATTGATTCAAGATAACGATTAGGCCGGAGCCGCTCATCAAGAAGGAGAGGCCTATCAATCCTCGCAGGATCCAGAGATAGACCTTCTGATTTGTGATGCGCATTAGGGTGATGCAGATGCTGGACTTGATGAAGCACAAGCTGCCAGCGTAGAAGGCTTGCCAGATCAAGAGTGTCTAGTTTTCGTTGACCGTATAGATTTAGCAACAATAGGCCTACGAATTTGTATGTAGTAGGTCTGTCCAATGCCATCACAACGTACCTTGTAGCCCTCTATGCTCGTCGCTCGATTCATAGTCTCATCTTTGCTCGCTATGCCAGTAAAAGACCCGTAGATCGCAACAGCGGACTGGCCCAAGTTGACAGACTAAACGAACGGTCTTGCAGTTAGCTTCTTTTCAGCCGACCGGAAAATAGTCGACCTACGAATCCCGTCAACATAGCCCAGTCGTCAGAACCGATTTTGTTCGTCTTGAATCGAATGAACACGCGCATGGCCATGACGATAGTTGTTAGAATCGCCAACGTGACGGTAGTGACTAGGAGCCCTAATGCGAGCCCCTGAGGCTCGACGGCCTGCCACGTATCGTCTCCGGCCACATTGGACATGACGATTCCTCTCCGCCGATTTCGTAGTAGCTGAGCCGGAGACGAAGAAATAGTCTTGGGACGAGTCTCGAAGAGGAATCGATTTCGGTTTCTACATTCTGCGAAGACGCTATTAGTAGTGAAGAGGGTTTCGGAGAAAATGTACAGACAGCAAACCTTGTTACCGAAGCGGAGGTGATGACCGTGGTCCCTCATGGGAGGACCAAAGTTCTCTATTGCACCCAGGTCTCTGACATCCCTGGCATGGACTCGAAGGAGCGTCTTTGCATGTGCGTTGGCCTGATTCGGCTGCGAACCGCGTCAGGTACGAATACGTCAAGCTCGGGTTCAATCAAAAAAGTCTGTTGGAGAATTAAACGGATTGGAACACCCCGGCAAATGCACCAGTGTGGGATGTTGGTTGTGTGATAGAATGCGGTACTTGACAGGGGCCCTGGGCATATGGTATGGGGACGGGAGACGTCAAAGCGAAAGGTTGCATATGGAAACCCAGCACCAACAGTATCTTGGCAAGTCGGCAGCAGGGAGCGAGGGGGACTACTCCGCCCGTACGGAGTAGAAAGTACATTTCTTCGTTCTTACATATACTATGTAATGCATTCTGACTTTCCAGTCAAGGTGTTGAAGGTGTATTGTCTTGTTGAATCATTATCCGTCAAAGTTCATGGATCATGGACTTTGTCTAATTTTCCTGATTGCAATTGTTTCTGACCTTAAACTATCCCCTATACATGGATAATTTATGCGAGTCGAAGTGCCTGGGCATTGGACGCCCAACAGGATGGATACGCGGCCAGCGGATGGTCTGACCCAGTACCCGCCCGCATCACCCCCGTTGACAGCTGAGCCGGGGATATATGCAGGAACGCGGGGTTAAAGCAAGTTGTCGTCTTGAAGATAACTAGAGTCGGGGTCCTGGTCGTTGACCGCCCATCCTTCTGAAAAGTCCGTCCGTCTTGACCTTCCTGAGCATATCTGAAAAAGGGCCCCTGAGCGAAGATCCTCATCCTATAAGACCATCCAGAAATGGTTTTGATGTCACCTAGCAAGTCATGTAATTGAACCCCCTTTTTCTTCCTTTTTCCTGATCTTTGAAACCGACTTTTGTGCCAAGGAGCATATCATTGTCAAAATCTGATTTATCAACAGCGCAAGCGAGTCAGAAACACACCTAGAATCTATACCATCAAGCTTGCACTTTGACGACTTATCATGGCCATCGAATACGAGGTCAAGGGAAAGGTAGCCCTGGTTACAGGAGCTGGATCTGGTAAGTAGTCTCCATCTCTACCAGACCTTCAATGACGATACCCTTGGGTATTGATCGAAGATAACTCGATCGCCGGCTTGCATGATATTCATGATTCTTCTAGGCATCGGTCTAGCCATCACCCAGCGCCTTCTTAACGAAGGCTGCTCGGTAATGATCGCAGACCTCGTCCTCCGCCCAGAAGCCGAGACCACCATCGCATATTTCCCCCATCCGTCTCCATCCGCAGACAAGCCCTCAGCCGCCTTCCACAAGACAGACACGACAAACTGGGCCCAACTCAAATCTCTCTGGGCGGCAACCCTCGAAAAGTT